GAGAGAGAGAGAGAGCGAGAGAGACTCAATATCTGAATTAGTCGGAATCACGTTGATTCAAATTCGTAGGACAGGTTCGCACCTGCGACTGGTTTACCTTTCATCGATGTCACCTGCCGCGAGCCATGATTCCTCGCGCACGGGGAACAGGAACAGCACTGCGGACGGGAACAACGACCTCGACCTTCGACGGCGTTCACCACCGATGGACGATGAACTTCGCGCGAACGTTCACGACGATCGTACGGCGGATTGGCGATCGTACACGCGTTATCGAGACGTCACGCGTTCACACGACACTGCGGAGGTACTGTCGCGGACGCACGTGGCTTCTCCAGGACGAATTTCGGGGTCATAACAAAACGACGACCTCGCGGCCGGGCCGCACGGCCATCTTGCTGCTCCTATCAGTCTTTCGCCCTTTCTCTCTCTCTCTTTCTGCCTTCCTCTCTCTCTCTTTCTCTCTTGCTTCCTCCCTTTCTCTTGCCTTCTCTGTTAAAATACCGACGGATACCGACAGACACCGACACACTCGCGATTAATCGATATCTCGCTGCGGCACCGATAACGGAGTTATCCTGCCCATCCATTCTCTTTTCTCTTTTAACGTAAAACTTTAATTAACAGAGGGCTGCGATCAATTTCTGATATGTCGGCGCAAGCGGGTAGGCAGTCGTGTTCGTCGAATGAAGCTGATAGCGGCAAACGTTATTATACAGCTTCGAGGCTCTCATCAATCGAAACTATCTACCATCACATTGTGGACATTGTTCTCTATGATCAAACGAGTATAAAAGAGAGTTCACGAGAGCCCTGTGGACTTTCTGTATGTTTTACGATTTTATGATATGTGATCTTTTCGAGTTACGACACGAGGCACGATACAGAGGTGGTCCTCGTTCGGATTTTCGCGCTACTTGTTGCAACGGGAATATCATCGGCGGGGTTGTCGTGATCGAGCACCACCTGACTTGCCCCCGGCTGGTAAACCCGAGATCTCCACGATGCACCATTTACGGAAGGGTATTTCGGGTAACCGTCGGTAAAGCCAGATATAAGAGGGTAAGAAACCGCGTACGGGGGCGTAGGAACAGGTCAGGTCGTCGTGGTCGGTAAAGGAACATCGCGCGCGCGGTATATGCCAGTATACGGTATAGAACGGGGGGTAAACAATCCTGAAGGAGTTTGATAATAGCTATCTATCTAGGGAGGGTCTGTCTATCCAGGATCTATATATATATACAGGGTGTTAGTTAAGTAGTTAACTAGTTTCCATACTCAACAGAGCGATTCTTTGGTTTATTTCAAGTAAAAAAGTTCATATAAACATGTATTCTAAACGGTTTAGTTTCCAAAATACAGGTGAATGTTCACAAATGTTTGACGAAACGGTAAATTGCGTTGGAGATATCTTCCTGCATAAATATGCCTTGCTTCACGTGAGTTACCATTCGCACGATAAACAAAGTCAAAGTCATAAAATCAAAAATAGACTTCAGTTTTTATATTGCTGCGGGTCGGTTAGCATACGTTTTCGGGCCAAATTGTTTCAATCCATCAAAATTGGTTTCATTATACCTAAGTTTACAAATTTTGAAATGGCAGATATGCACTTTGCTTACGGTCTTGCAAATGGTAACTCACGTGAGGCAAGGCGTATTTATGCAGAAAGATATTCCCAACGCAATTTACCATGTTGTAAAACATTTGTGAATATTCACCGCTATCTTCGAGAAAAGAGTTCTTTTGTAAGGAACACTGTTGGTCTTGGAAAGCCTATGACAGTTAGAACACCAGTACTAGAGGAAGCTGTTCTAAACAAAACAGATTATTATTACACGTTTAAATTTTTTTATTTCAGAAACTAAGCTGTTTAGGACACATGTTTATATGAACTTTTTTACTTGAAGTAAACCAAAGAATCACTCTGTTGAGTATGGCAACATACTTAACTAACACCCTGTATATACCGCGGGATTTATCTTGTACACCGTTCAGTTCGATTAGGTGGGGTGAGAATTAGGCGGCAAAGAGATCGAAGAATGTCAAAATGCAAAACACTATATTATATGTCGACAAGCACACGGAGAAAAAATATTTGAAAACTTCTTTGTGGGATATAAAGTTCTTTCTGCGTGAAATAAAGTCTATTTCTGCGTGAATAAACTTCACATCCCACAGATATGAATTTTTTAATAATTTTCAGTGTGCGCTTTCGCTCTTTCTTCGAATGAAACTTGAAACGTAATCGTTTAATTGTAGATGTGACATAGAATGTTTTCACAACCCCTGCGGCTGACTGCACCGTTCGCCCAAAGCTATCCCCTTTCCACACCCGTGTAGTTTCGCATTTCTAGATGTATATCGATAGATGCAGTGTCTGCTTACCTTGTCCTCCGCTTCATCGGCCCTGCCCTCCGCTTCTAATACCCGCTGCTCGAGTTCGGAGAGCTGAAACAAAAAGCGGATCATTTTAGCGATACGTCACCTCGCATGAGATTAATGACGTTTCGTGAGATAAACGATTGCCTAAGCTCTTAACCGTAATATCAGTCGCCTCCGATAAAAACGTCGCGCTGTAATTTCAAGAGACGCGTAATCTTCCTTTCGTACGATTCCTTTCACGAGCCTTATCGAAATAGGTCTCGTTGCAAGTCAAATGCAAACGGCGAAGCAACGATAAATCTCTTTACATACGCTCTCTAAGGTACAACCAGGTGTATTCCCAGTAAACACAAAGAATCATCTATATTACAATGTCAGCTCAATCATATGGTATATTATGTAACAATTACTTTGTAATATAACAAAGTAACAGTTACGTAATATACTATATGATTGAGCTAACATCGTAAAATCGATGATACTTTGTGTTTACTGGGTTCTCTATAGAAATATTATAGAGAAGGACCGGGGCTGGATGCCTCATATTTCAAAAAATTTTTAAGTTTTACAATTTTAAATCTTCAGATAATTATTGTGATCGACTGTGTACAAATATAATAGTCTTCTTCTATGTGTTAATGTCCGCCACGATCCTGTTAACCGTATATTTTACATTGCAATAATTAAAGTACAAATATAATCACACTAGCAACGTGATCATTTTTTTGCTCCAGTACTGGGTTCAGTTTCTCTAATAGCGCAGGGGGTAAGAAGGCCACGTATAAAATATGTATTCTGATTAGTAGTTCCGTGGTCTCCGCGAGAGGTCTCCACGGCCTTTAATTATGGGCCAACTTTACTTCGCTCGCTCGATTTTAGACATTTTATGAATGAAAATTGCTTTTATTATCTGGAACAGTATATCATACACTTGCAAGAAACTTTATTCTAGCTAGCGTCGTTTAACTTTATTCATTCACACAATGAAGAATATTAATGCAAAATTTTGAGAGGCTCAAAAATTTAGATTTGTTACTACTAAATCAATTTATTCTATCTTTTAATTGTAATATCATTCCGATTTTAATGAAAAACTCGGGGAAAAGTATTTATGTCGTAAAAAGATTTCACGATTTTGTATCAACTATTCTTCAAGATAAATAAAAAAAAGAAAAAAAAAGTAAAATAGCAACACACGTCTGGGACCATCTAGACCCGTTCTCTTTTACTTGTAACTGATGGTTCAGTTACAAGTGCAGTATTGCAATCAGTAAAATTTTGCTGAAGCGATCGATCAGTTAATAGCAGCGACTGTTCCTATCATCGTGATGCAGTTTACAAACAGACAGGGTCGTTGCACGCAAATCGCATGGAAGCCGGTAATTCTATCGTCACATACACGGAAGGTTGGATTTGTACAAGCAATTTATGCATTATGGATTTCGCGGTGAGAAAATTGTATATTAATAGAAGTATGAATCTTTTGTTATGTACGTCTATTAAGGGAGTAACTCGATTTTGACGTCTCAAAAATTAGCATATTTTACGAATTTTTTTCTCCTAAAACTTTGTATAGTTATACCTTTGTATAGTTATATCCTTAACTATAATTTTATTTAGAGAAAGAAATAAGAATTCGCAAACGAAGATATCAATCAAAAAATAGGAAAAAGGGCAATTCGAGTTCAAGCATAGGACTAATAGTGCTATATACCATATGGGTAAAAACCTTCCTTGTGTTAGGAAATCGTGTAATATTTATTGAACATGAATAATTAATATAAAACAATCATACGTTTCGGCTCAACCATGAACTCTCTTCAGTGATAATAAAACTCAAGGTTTACGACACGAACGCATTACAATTAGTAAAAGACTTGCGCAAATTGACATGAATGTTAGTCGCAATATTAAAGCCGACAAGACCGTTACCGAAATAATATTAAGTAATAAATTAATATTGAGAAGTAGCCGTCATAACTATAAAAAACATATAAAATAAAATAAAAATAAGTAAAATTGAAATATAATAAATAATTAAAACTGACAATATAAAATACCTTTGTTGAGTTCAGCTAAAAGTAAACCGATCCTGTCAACGATAACATCGCCACGTCTTCGAAATACAAATAATTACAGATTTATATGCCTAGTATTAACATTGCGGAAACGACTTGTGGAAGAGAAAGAAACCAAAACAAAGTTTATTTTCATAACAAGCCGCAGTAGCTGGTGCCCAAATATTCAGTATCCTTTTGTGAGTTAAGACCTTGCTTCTGAAATCTGATGAAAATCATTTCTGAGATCAGGCGTTTTAAGTAAAAGCGTTCCTCATGTAAAACTTTGACATGATCCCAATCAAAATCATGGTTCTTCCTCAAACGATGTTCCTGTATGGCCGTTAACTCCACCGTAGAACTCTTAGGAATTCTCCTATGCTCGCCAATACGTGAGAATTCCTAAGAGTTCTACGTTCATATAGTATATAACACTATTAGTCCTGTGCTTGAACTCGAATTGCTCTTTTTCCTATTTTTTGATTGATATAATTTTATTTCTACTTGTAAAAATTAGAAAGTTTTAATAAAATATGTTTTAATAACCATACAAGTTTCGGATTTGTCAGCCGCATAGTTTCGGAGAAAAAAATTCGTAAAATGTGCTAATTTTTGAGACCTCAAAATCGAGTTGCCTCCTTAAATATTTAATATATTGGACATATATTTAACGATATATTGGAAACATATATAATAATATATTTAATATACTAAAAAATTAGATTATGGTGATTTATTGGTGGATTATTTTATGGCGAATGTTAACATCATTTCAATTCTGTTCTGTAAAAGAATCATACTGCAACAGTAACCGTATTATCTTTGCGTTTTATCAATCTGAATTAAAATTCTTAAGCATTTAAAGAATAGGGCGGAGTCAGACCAGCGCGATTAAGTGCTTCGGAAAATTGGCTGTTTGCTTTAAGCACTCGGAAATCGTCCGCCTTTCTATGGGACGTATCAAGTTGACGACAATAGTAGTCTCCGTCGCGCTTTACGAGTCTGCTCGATCGAAACAGTATTACGTAAGTTGCAAGAATCAATCGTATGGATTTCGCAATTTCCCGGCTCCTTATGTCGTAAACGATGTCACGTTATACTCGCGACGACTGTGACCTAAATACTTCAAACTCCTACGAAGATGATCGTGATCTCTGAATCGTGCATTTAATTTCATTCCACTCTCTTCTAGTGAGTCGGCAGAAATGTTTCTGGATTTTAGTTCTCTATTTCGCACAAGTCTGCCCCGAGACGAGCCGGGACGGCGACTCACGCCATTTGCGCGAACACACGAAATCGCAAGAGTTGCTCGCGTTGCCTCGCTTCTCGGTGACGTTGTCGCCGAGAACGACTGATAAGAACCTTTATAATATCTTGGTAACAGATTCACGGCGTTCCCGAGGTAAGACGTTCCTGTCCAAGAAAGTTCGACGCGCGCGAGCAGTTCGATGTCGTCTAATTTCGCGAAGGAAAGTTTCATCAAACTTGGTTAAGTCCATGGACGAGGCGCACTTGCTCGATGACAGTTTAATGGTTACGATGGAGCTAAACCGGACTCTAATACCGGCTCGATCTAGCGGAGATTGATACGCGAGTGCCCGTCAGCACGAATATTCCGCGCAAAATCTCGTTTAAAAGTGCACACAGAGAATGTCTCCTGACTCTTCGACTTTGACGACCGCGATTCTTCAATCGATCCCCCGGAGTCAATAAAAATTTCCGCGCTTGTGCGGACCAAAAGTGATTTCACTGCCGTAGCTAATCGTTCGCTGAATTTCTTGGAATAAAAAAGGTGATGGTGAAAATACTGCCACATGAAATCACAAGAGTAAATGTTTCGCTCAAGTTAAAGTGGATTCTGACTCTATATGTGCGGATGTTTTAGTGGAGCGAATATGTTTCCTTGGCAGTAGAATGGATCAGATCCACTCTTCAATTTCGAGTGAAAATATTCACTCAACGATTCAGAATGGAGAATTCACTCTATAGAAGTGAATGATAACTCGAATTCGAGTGACTCAGCTGTTACTTTTTGAGAGAAATTTTACCCCAATAAATTTAGAGAGCACGGTTTGCTCAAGATATATTTGTTGCTGTATTATTTTTGAATTTCTTGGAATGAAATTTTACAAAAAAAATAGAGCGACCACTGAGTCACTCGAATTTGAATGGTTTTTCATTTAGATAAAGTGTATTCTTCGCTCTGAATCGTCGAATGAACATTTTCACTCGAAATTGAAGAAAAAATCCGATGTATAGTTGGTTGCAAATCGGTTTGCACATTTTATCAGATGAAGTTGCAATGCTTCAAGTTGTCCGAATTGAAAGTCATTGCTGACGTGTATGCGCGGTAACCGGTTATGGAAGGAATCGAGGTGACAGTACAGAGTGTATGTGTGTGTGTGTGTGTGTGTGGCATTTGTGAAATTTAGAACAAAGAATTTACTTCAAATTAAAAAAACATTAATTTGAGACGAAATTTTTATAACCAATTGCTGCGCACACAGCCAATATTGCGCAATAGCATTCAATTCCGATAACTTGAAGCTTTGCAATTTTATTCGATGACAAGTGTGTGCAAACCGACTTGTAACCGATTATACTCCACAGGAATACATTTACTCTAGTCAATTGAAACATTCACTCATATGGAATCAAAATCTATTCTAAACTTGAATGAAATATTCGTTCTCGCGATTTCGAGTGACAATATTTCACTACTGCAGCGAAAACACTGTTGCTTTTCACTGGTTTTGAGTGAGATTCTGTTCCATGAAATTTGAAGAGTAACTGACAATTTTGCTACTTTTACTGCTACATTGGTTTCATAGCTAAATATATGCTTACTATCCGTATGTTACAGTGAGATTTTGCTACTACACACAACTTCTTGCTCTCAAAATTTCTTAAAATGAAATTTCACTC